GGCCTGAATGAAAATGACTAGATTCTTTTTACTGGAAGACGTTTGGAGCTCCTGGTTTGCCAGTTTATAGCAGTTCACTAGATAATACCGTAAGTGTGGTACTCTACATTCTTTCACCCCGAACAAAAGTAGATTCTGGATTGACCATGCATTAAACCTATTTGGATCGGCTTGAAGTAGTGTAAAACTGTCTATTGAATTGATAACTCTCTATACCTTGTTGCTATCGGCATAGAGCGAACAATTCGAGTTTATGTTGTATGTACTTTTGTTGATGTATATCATCCTTGTAGGCGCAAGCGTCCGTTGCCTATCCCCAGGGAGGCTGCAGTGACAAGCACATTCGGAACGGGATGCGGCCAACCATACATCTAGAGCGACTCTGGTTCTCCGCACTCGACTTGGATGGCATCTTACACGGATTCTGTTCCACTTAACTCCAAGCGCCAATGCAAAAGAAAGCTTTTAATCCACCCTGGAAGAGGGTCACTTATGCCGAATCGCTGGGGCTGAGAGAAAAAAGTGAAGTAAGTGCAGCAGTAAAACAGGTGAAATGGCCTGGAGGAGCCAAAAAACCACCTCAACTCATACACCAGTAACTACTACTTCAGTCCAGCTGGATAGGGCTAGCAGTAGGTTCGTAGTTCACGATCGATTTCGTCAGAAGCTGTGCTGTACTTGTGTAAGCTAGGTATTCTTTCACTTAGGTTTTCAGCTCCTCGGCATCAATAGCCTTCATGACCTTAGAAGGCAGCAGTAGTCGGCCGGATCGAACCGACTAACTTCCCTGTAAATATGAGTAAGTATCCCGTGTTTCCACATGTTGTGCATGCACATTTCGTCGAAACAGTGTTGGAAGAATCAAGCGAAACGTCCAGATAGGCTCTACCTTATCACCGCAAGTGACCGGCTGAATATTATTAACTCTGGACGAAATGTGCCTCCGTATATACAGTAACGTCTCCAGTACAGTTCCTAGCCTGACAGATAAATGCTTGAATTTTGGTGGCTGGACAACACTCAACGTAGAGTTAGGTGCCTGCTGAATGCGTCGTAATGTTGGAGCATATAGCACACCAAAGGCACTCGTCGTATCTTTTATAGTCACTGTTAGTCCATTCGCTATTTGAAGAGTAAAAATTCCCTGTTTCACATTACGCTGGCTGATTACATGTTAACATTGCAGCTTGTGCTTTGAAACCGTGCAGATTGCCAACGTCTGCTGGTATGGCATTTTATCCGCACCGACAAGTTGAGTACTGTGATCGCGTTGAGTCACATAAACCATCCAAGTCTCCGTACTCGGAGATGTCTTATGGATATGTCAGATCGAGTTCCGCACCGCTATACACTTGCGTTTCATGCCTCCTACAAAGGAGGCCACGTTTCTCCAGTGGACAACCACAGTACCCGATGTTTCCACAACACTACTGTTAAACTGGCCGACGAAATGTTGTCAAGCGCTAGCTGGTGTGTCGTCTGTGGGTTAGATCCAGTTAGTTGTCTCACCGACTATAGCTTATATGTCCTAGTGTATCATAGTTCTAGTTGCTTCAACAATATCTAAAGAATATTCTGCATAACAGATATTTGCGATGACTAAGGCTACATGATCACTGCGGTCCAGGGAGACGTCGACGAGCACCCACTTGAATACAAGTTCCTCGTTGGTAAATATCTAGCCTAGTATAGATGGCTTGTCTGCCTCTCTAAGTCTATTAGGTTGTCCCGATAGCATCTGAGGTTTTGGTATATTTTGTCAATCAATATTCGTTGTAATTGTGCAAGAATATTTGATCAGTATTGCATCCATTGTTATCGATGACATATTGCCAACGCTCAACCATGCCTCTCTCATAGAGCGGGCTGACCTGGTTGTCAAAGCATTGGGCAAGGTATTTTTTGGTGTGGTCTAGGTCATAGAAATTTTTGTCGTTGGTGTGATTGTGCAATGAGTGAAAGTAGTGGTAGCCAGTAGGAGCAACGCCCGAATTACATGCTGGATGCATAAGCCTTTCGATACCGAACTGCTGCATCTTCAGATGTGTCATCATACCACAGAGCGACGTGCATTGTCATACAGGAGAAGGATTAGAGCTGCATTTGGACAAGTTTTTCGGGGTTTGTCAGGCATTTTTGTACACTTTTTAGCTGCAGACATCGGCAATAACCGTGTAATTGCCAGTTAGCAATTCGCAGTAGATGACGCCGTGTTGATCTCAGTAAACCGACAGGACCACTTCTTTGCCACGCAACTCGCGTTTCGGGACTTGTACCTGAGTTTCATCCTCCACCATCCACTGAAGTTTCCTCTACGTTTGACATGGAGTATCCACATCTCGTCTCCAGTAACAACATCGTCCAGCCATCGAAGGTTGCGACCTCGGGCGTGCAATGAAAGTATGATGGCATTGCCGCTCAAAAACTGATGAACAGTCAATGCGTGTGATGCAGTGGCCCTAGCTTTGTGACCATTCCGGATTAGCGCAAATAATGACGAATGGTGGTTTTGGGGTGTGTGGAAACTACACGCAAACTTTGTCTCGGACCCTCCGGTACAGTCTCCTGGAAGCTGCGGACAAAGTCAGCTAGCTTGCATCCTTGACCTTCGAAGTATGACAACCCGTAGTACCTACCTTGAATTCATGAAATTAACATACTACCATATCATACATTGGAGCATCCGTGCCTAGTACGCCACGCATATTCTAACAAGCCCCTAGCCATTTGTACCCCTGTATGAACAGGTACAACTAGCATCCATGAATAGCACGTTGATAATTTGTCAATATCGCAGCCATTGCCAAAACGTAACATAAATGGATAACGCAAGATTATTTTTCCATTGTGTCCTCTTATATAGCCATAAAAATCCTCTTTGAGATGCTTTCAGAAATTCCTGGAATGCCATCGAAAAAGTTAATTGATTTCGACTCAACATAATAGAGGGACCGTTCATTTGGTCATTGAACATAAGATTGGGGACAAGCTTTTGAACAGTCGCTTTAAGCTGCTCTCCAACATCTGCATGGGATTCCAGGGTTTAGATATTGAAACGACCGGTGAAAAGAACGTGACCGTACTTCTTGTTTATCAGTACGGATGCCATGTTAAAATATATTTCTGGCTTGCAGGATGGTGGGTGATAAATGACAGCCAACATGCACGCGTCGTCCAGTTTCAAACGTACATGACAGCAGTTCTATAATTAATGTTTTGATCGCATTAAGTTCACCACCATCTATTGTAACTGTACAGCTAATTGCGGTATCGTCGTCCCACTACAGCTGTAGTGAAGCGACACGAGTGGTCTAGTATTCGAGCGAAATATGGCGCCATCAACAAAAAGGATTTCATGTATGTGCCGCAATTCCACTAAGTCAACAGCATGGGAATCCTCATCACTAGCTGTCAGTGGCTCTGGCTCGTAACGAACATAAGGATTCTTTTGCTACTTCTCGTGTGGTGGTTATCTGCATCACTTTTACCACGCTGGCCTTCATTCCATGGGATATTAATAGAAATGCGCATCTCACCGTCTTCACTCCAGAGGCGGTGTGCAGACAAAAGCACCACTACAACATTATATGTGAATACTAAAGTTACGCGTAAAAGTTGTGGCACGTCGTAGTGCATCGAGTTCGGATGTTCAGTGATACGTATTTAGTTACTCAGGCTGGCCTGAACATCGATCCGATCACAAACGATAGTCTATTGGTTCAGACCAGTCTGCTGTTTTCCATTTAACCAGTTCACCTGTGATTCAGGAACGTTTGTGCAAATGAATTTTGGGGCATCATAGTTCCCCCTGCGCTTCCATGAGTTGTGGGGCGCGGCGATCGGTGGCTTTGTCGCCGTCTCTGTATTTTGCAAACGGTTCTTGACACATGTTGTGCCTGCAGTGGTTGAAGCTGCAGGATTCGTAATTTGTAAACATTGAACCAAAACTATTGCACATGTGGATCGGTCTTTAGAGAGGTTCGGCCTTATGTTGGTCAATTGAGAGCGTAAGTATTGCTGAGGTTTTCTCAGTTGATGGATTGGACAAGAGGATAGGGGTGTTGTATCCCAGTGTGTTTCATTCGTGATGATGAGGTGGTTTGGAATTCCCAAGCTACTCGTTGTGGTGATATCGTAGGAACGCCTGAACCTCCAACTTGGTTTCCAGGTTGCGATGAGATGCCAGCCAAGCTATCCTCTCCTCGGACAGTCATTCTTGCATTTGGACGACGTTTAGTTTCAGCGACTGGACTGCTAATTGGACTTTTGTGATCATGCTAATAGATCTTTTACAAGGAGAAACGCCTTACACTCAGTAAGGAACCAAAGTGAGTCCGGTTTATTTTCACAATTATCTGCTTCGGCTAGGGAGAGACTGGCATAATTCGTATAGTAATGCCTAGTAAAGTGAGTACACCCAGTCGTACTTTTACTACGCATTACAAGCTTGAGCAGCTCAGAAAGTTATATTCAGGCCACATGTCGTGATCAATGTGGCCGAAGAGACGCTGCGTAGTTTATGGGTTGGTGGTGTCTCGGGATTTGTTAACGTTCGCACGCCTATGGTTAATTTTATGTTAGATGACTAACGAGTCGCTTCTGTTGTCATACGAATTTGCTAGCCCGAAAGTGCCCTAAACTTTTCTATTTTACCTACGATTTGTAGCGCGAAATAGCCCCATTTGTGTGTACTTTAGTTCACTAGGTAAAGTATTTTTATCTAAATTACCTCAAACTTCATTTCACTTATCAACTTGCTTTACCAACAGTGTGCCGCCTCATTCCGCTCATGCGATCAATTGTTGCCATCCCAAGACCAATGCGGGCATAGAAAAGTTGATACCCAGTGATAGCTAATTGTTACTAATAATGTGCGTGGCAGTAAGAAGTAAGTTACCGCCTTACCATCCTGTACACAACTCATAAACCCCAACCATAAGGGAAGAAAAACGGGTTTCTAACCGAAATTTGCTTAAGTACATCTTGAAGTAAATGTATTGGTTCGTTTGTTTTAGTCACGACAAATTTCATGATAAGTTTATTCTTTAGTGTCATTCGCAGCTTCATTGCCCAGTTAAAGCTTCGCACTATCGTGCCGATTTGTCTTGTGAGGACTCCTGATGGTTGTTTGTGTTACAGGGGAATGTTAATGCGGCTGAATCCTCCTCCTGATCAGGGGCCCTCTCTGCCTCGTATGATCTGCCCTCTGTCGGAACAATGATTGCCTCTGGTGGATGTGATTCGAATGGTGGAGGTGGAGATGCCGAATAGCTTGGTAGAGTTGGCAATAGAATTGGTGGTATGAGAACTAGCGGGTAGGGAGCTGTTGAAAATGTAATATGGTTGAAAGTAAACGATATTTTATTGCCGATTCGGAGTTCTTAGGTAATACTGTTGCTCAAACGTTAAGAAACATTGTATACCGGAAAGTACATTTCGGTGGCATTTTACATTTCAATGTAAATGTTTAAGCTGTTTAAAAGTACCAGCGCCTTTTTTGAAAAAACGTCTAGTCCACTTCATCCAGTAGTTGGTTTTCCTCCTCTTTTTTAACCTAGGCATTCTTTGTTCGAGCTGTTCGGCTGCATCCAGGATGTAAGATCAGGTCACTGACTGGCTTTTGGGTAAGAACATGACAACATCGGATAGCGGCGTGTCACGTGCGTCGTGTTATTGAATCGACTTGTAAGGTTGCATTAGCACCAGCCCATAAGTTGCACGAGTGGGGATCAATAAAACCACAGTCAGGAATATTATTTTTCGGATATTAGCAGAGGCTTTTCTTGATCATCATATCTGCTTGACATCTGCAGGGGGATAGTTCACAGGGGGTGATTACTACCTTGGTTTCAAACCAGAGCTACTAACTATCTAGAATCTGTGCCTCTGTGCTGTTGCCGACCTCCTCACCAGCTGTGAGCTTCGTATTGAGTACTCTGAACTGCATAGTTCACAACTTTAGGCCGAAATTAATTAAGGTCCTAAAGCTGCAACTGCTACATGGCATTTAGGTTGCTGTGTGTAAATCGTGTGCATGCGACAGGTAACAACATGGGTAGTAACCTGAAAAAGCAGCAGACCGGAGCAGCACCGGAACGGATGTATGGAAAACACTGCACATGTGCGGATTACAATCAAATAGGCAAACTTTAGAGTTACAACCAATCAGATGCAAGCGCATATCGCTGGGCCAATAAGTGTTAAGTAGAAGCGTGGGTGATAGAACCGAATCGATAGCACAAACAAAGCAAAGTATCGGAACACTACATTGTCCCCTCCGTTCGTAAAAATATATGCACTACGTGTCCATGTACGATCTAATATAATGTCAGCACCTCGAAGAAAATGTCATGTGGTGTTACCTGTTAGAGCATATCGGTAGACAAGGCGGCGTATCCGACCGGATCACCGTAGGTTTGTAATAGGTTGTATCAAGAGCTGTGTTGCAGGTGTGTTTGCCCGTTCAACACAACTTTGGGAAAGCGCTGTAGGCAGCCGTCTTGCATTCAAGCTTGTCCCATCGGCCACCTTATATGTTCCCCGCGTGCACACTGGTTCCACACGGGTCAGGGGTCCGAACACATTACCTCCTTTCCGAAAACATTGTAGTCTGACACGAACAAATGTCCCTGGGGGATACCTTCTCCCAACCCGTCTATGCTTAGCCTGTTAAACAGCCGGTCTTTCGAAGTCTCTGTGATCGGTGCTTTCTTCGGATGAAAAGGCTGCATTTTACTGAGTTCGAATTGTTCGCCCCAGCATTAGCTCTGTGGGGGGTCCTTGCAGTTGTATTACTAGAGTGGTTCTGTATACCACTAAGGTAGATACTATGGCATCATCCCAGAATTCACCCGAAAGTCGAAGAACTTGTAGAAATTCTTTATAAGTACGAGTAAGTCGTTCAGTTATCCCATCCGCAGAAGGATTATATGGTACAGTCCTCGAGTGTCTGATACCATTGCGCCTTATAAATTCGGCGTACTCGTTACTTCGAAACTGTGGGCAGTTATCAATGATCATTTCTACTGGTATCCCGTACCTTGCAAACAAACAACGGAGCCACTTTTTGATGACGGTTTATTACGTCCACGCACAGAATAGCCTCTGAACATTTGCTGTAGAAGTAGGTAGCCACTATCACGTTTCGCTTCTGCTGGGGTGCATTGGCGAACCGACTTATAACGTTGATGGCAGTTTTTGCCCATGGCTTTATTTGGTACACGATAGTTTGAACTGGAGTATATAGGGGCAAGGCACTCTTATCGGGTTGTTGGCAGGCGTAACATTCCCGAATGACCGCCGCGAAGCTGGAATTCAACTTCGGCCACCAGTACTATTGTCGTATCCGAGCTTTTGTCCGCACAATCTCCGGATGGCCATCACACGCCTTCAGCCACCAGAGGAATAAGGGTTGCAGGCGCAACTGTTGCGGACACGTCAAATATTCCCGCAAAAACACACCAGAAACCCCAGCAGAATGGCTATGGAAAAGGAGCTTCAAGCCCTCCCCACAACGCAGCAGAGCTCAGCCACTCCGAGACGCGGCCAAACTGCGCACCTTCTGACAATGGTCATTTGCAAACTACCACCTCTTCGTGGTGACTGTTTTCCTTAACTTAATAACCCATAGCATTGGCTGTGATCGCCCTTTGTTGGTCGTAAAAGAGCCTACAGAAGACCACTTGCCTTTTCTTTCTCTTCGCCTCAGTTGGGAGTCGGTCGGGTCACGTGATTGCGCGTGAGTCGTTAGCTGGCCAGCCTTCGCGTCTAAGTCATTAGCGCGCGTCTATCATAACCCCCTCTCGAGTGTGTCTGTTCCGAGGCTCAGCGTCTATCCGAACGGTGCGGCTAGGATCGTTCACACGCTCGCTCAGTTTTCCGTCTCACCGGCTAAGCTAGCGTCATCAGGTCAGCGCAACTCCGTTCGAGTGGCCAGCGTTACAACTCGTCATCCTAGGCGTGCTCCAACCGTGCCAGCGACAATCTTATCAGGCAATTACGCAATTAGAACAGAGGCGGCTTTCCCTCAATTATAACAGCAACAATCTGCTCGCCCCTGATAATGCAGTTACTCAAAGTAGAAAGCTCGTGCCGCAGGGTATAGTATGGAAGCAACACAGGTTGGATCTTGCTACGACTAAGCTATGAAGTGGATATGTAGTTCCGAAGATTCGCTAGGACAGGGTATTTGTCAATGTGCTCTCGTGTCAGGTCAAATATTATAGTAAAAGGTTTTCCGCCTGAGAGGTGCGCTATCATTTTTCCATCCTCTAAGTCCCTGTTTTCCCCTTCCTTGGGCAGTGGGAGCATCGACAGGGCACCTGCAAGCTAATTAAAGCAACCTGTTAAATATTTTATTTCATAATCGTATTTCAATAAACTTGAGTACCAGCGACTCAGGCCTACCGGCTTTTGGCCCTTGGTACCACGACTTAGTAGGATTGTAAGAGCAGAATTATCGGTGAGCAAAGTGAATCGACGTCCGAATAAGTAAAAGTGCCATTTCTCACACATACAGACACATGCGAGGGCCTCCTTCTTGTCGCTGGACTAATGTCATTTAGTATCAGACAAGGTACGCGATGCGTACACAACCACATTCTCCTCAACATCGTGCAGCTATGACAGAACTACACCCAAGTCAAAATCTGTAGCACCCGTTGGAACAAACGTTGGACAATGCTCATTGAAATCTCTACCATGGGAGTGCATTCAATCATCGATCGTATGCTCATGTAAGCATTGTCTTAACGTTTTGATTCGTTCTCCGAGCTGAGTAATTTAATGACAAACGTTTCACCACTTCCCTCAGTGGCATCTTCAGTGCACTGCTCCGTAGAGGAAAATCTCACGGAAAGTGTCGTCGGGACGTAGCGTTTGAAATTAGCCTCGTCGATCTGTGTCCCGTGACCTCTGTTTGTTCGATATTTGGCCGTCCATTTTCGCGCTTTCTCAGCTGTAGGTACACGGGATCGAGGTCAATGCGGAGGTTCAGGGAATTCTCCGTAGAGAACCATGCCTCGAGGAATTCCCTTCCTTTTCTTGTCCCTCCGTGCGCCAGAATTTCTGTTTTCTCCCAGTTAACGTTGTGTCCTTCCTCATCGAGGTGCGCTGAGATCTGTGACGATACATGATGGTATCGACACGCACGCTTGTGCTCTTGTATTCTTGTGGATAGTTTTCTCCCCGTTTGACCTACATAGTCTTTGTCACAGTTCTCGCATTGTATCCTGTAGACGACATTTTGGTGTTCGTGTGCCTCCAGTCTTTCTTTAGGTCTAGATAATATTCTTTTCAAAGTCGCAGTTGGTATGTGAGCTATCGTCAGGTTGTGCGGTTTGAGGAGTCTGGCTGTCTTTTCGGATACGTTTTTGATGTACGGCAAGGCGATGTGTTTCGTCGTTGTTGGTGCAGGTGCGGTAGTTGTGCTCCTTCGCTTTAGGTGTCTTCGGATGAAACTGCGTGGGTAGCCGTTGCGAATGAAAGACATAAACAGATGTTCTTCTTCCTTTCGTTTTGCCTCCGCAGTATTGCAATGCGATTCTATCCTACGAAACAGGGTCCGTATACAGCTTATTTTGTGACACTTAGGGTGATTGCTGTTAAAGTTCAGGATTTGGTCGGTGTGTGTTGCTTTTCTGTAAACTGATGTTTGTAATTCGCCTTCCACTGTTCTGGTAACCAGCACGTCCAAAAAGGGTAGTTGGTTTTCCACCTCTTCTTCCATGGTGAAACGAATGCCTTCCATTGCATTGTTAAGTAGGTCTTGTGCGGTCTGTAGCTGGTTGCGTTTGAGAAGCACAAACGTATCGTCAATGTATCGCACCCATAATTTCGGACTAGTAACTAGGAGCATATCCTCCAACCTCTGCATGACGACTTCCGCAATAAGTCCAGATATGCGGGATCCCAATGGAGCTCCTCTAACTTGCTCGTAGAACACTCCGTTGAATTTGAAGTAAGTAGTAAGACACAAGTCGAGGAGCTTGCATATGCTTTCAGTTGTTAGCTTCCCAGTCGTTTGTCCTCCATTGTTCAGACGTTCTTTGATATTTTCTTTCGCTATCTGTAAGTTGATGGAGGTGAAAAGTGCGGTGACGTCAAAGGATACCATCACTTCTTCATGGTCTATCCGCATGCATTTGAGCTTTTCCAAAAACTGATGAGCATTATTGATCAAGTATTGCGATCCGCTGGTCAGATGTTTGAGGCCTTTCCATAATTCTTTAGCCAAGTTTTAAGTTGGTGTACCTGGGAGTGATACTATTGGTCGTAGCGGCGCACCCTCTTTGTGTACTTTAGGAAGCCCGTAAAACTCTGCGATGTTTGGATCACGAGCCTTCATTCTATCATACTTTCCCTTTGTGAGTTGATTTAATTCTTGAAGTTTCTTAAGTGTCTTATCTAGTTTATTTGTTAACCGTACTGCTGGATCGATCTCCATGCGCCGATAGGTTGTTGAGTCGGCTAGGAGATGACTTGCCTTTTCCATATAATCAGCTTTGTCCATTATGACAGTCATACGTCCCTTGTCCGCAGGCAGGATTACGATGCTTTCGTCGGCCTTCAAGGATTTTAGCACCCTCTCCTCTTGCTGTAAAAAAGAGTTGTGTTGCTTGTTGCGTGCTAGAATCAGAACCACGGCATGCCTTATTTGTGTTTTGGTCTCTTCGTTAAATCCATTGCGGAGGAGGTGGAAAACCAACTACCCTTTTTGGATGTGCTGGTCACCAGAACAGTGGAAGGCGAATTACAAACATCAGTTTACAGAAAAGCAGCACACCCCGACCAAATCCTGAACTTTAACAGCAATCACCCTAAGTGTCACAACATAAGCTGTATACGGACCCTGTTTTGTAGGATAGAATCGCATTGCAATACTGCGGAGGCAAAACGAAAGGAAGAATAACATCTGTTTATGTCTTTCATTCGCAACGGCGACCCACGCAGTTTCATCCGAAGACACCTAAAGCGAAGGAGCACAACTACCGCACCTGCACGAAACACATCGCCTTGCCGTACATCAAAAACGTATCCGAAAAGACAGTCAGACTCCTCAAACCGCACAACCTGACGATAGCTCACATACCAACTGCGACTTTGAAAAAATTATTATCTAGACCTAAAGAAAGACTGGAGGCACACGAACACCAAAATGTCTTCTACAGGATGCAATGCGAGAACTGTGACAAAGACTATGTAGGTCAAACGGGGAGAAAACTATCCACAAGAATACAAGAGCACAAGCGTGCGTGTCGATACCATCATGTATCGTCACAGATCTCAGCGCACCTCGATGAGGAAGGACACAACGTTAACTAGGAGAAAATAGAAATTCTGGCGCACGGAGGGGCAAGAAAAGGAAGGGAATTCCTCGAGGCGTGGTTCTCTACGGAGAATTCCCTGAATCTCCGCATTGACCTCGCTCCCGTGTACCTACAGCTGAGAAAGCGCGAAAATGGACGGCCAATTATCGAACAAACAGTGGTCACGGGACACAGATGGACGAGGCTAATTTCAAACGCTACGTCCCGACGACACTTTCCGTGAGATTTTCCTCTACAGAGCAGTGCACTGAAGTTGCCACTGAGGGAAATGGTGAAACGTTTGTCATTAAATTACTCAGCTCGGAGAACGAATGAAAACATTAACTACCAACCCGAGCTACAGGTATTCCGAATCATTGCAATCATTTTCTTTTTCAATGACGTAACGAAACTGCTTGTGCTTGCGTGTCAACCTCCACAACTACTCGGCATAATTCGCAAAATTCAGGAATTGTCGAAGGTAATAAGAACACAAAGCCAAGTAATATTTCTTCTCCGTGACATTACATGCTTTGGACAATCAGGAATGGCTCTGGTGTTCTGCCCCTTTGGCTTAGTACCCGAGGTTGAAATGACATGTCCAGTAAACTCGACCTCCGTTACAGAAAATTGGCTTTCGCTGGTACTCAGGCGGAGATTTAGTGCATTCAGTCTATGCAACACATTATGAATGTTCTCATGATGTTCGGTGGGGTTACTACCAAAGACACAAACATCATCCACATACACAACACTTCCTTTGAGATCGGATAGCGGTAGAATAATAAGGTTCGGCCAAACGGTTACGGTACTAGTAAGACTTATTGGTAGCACTATGTACTAATAAAAACCGTCTTGCTTGAGGAAAGCAGTTAAATGTCGGGAATCTGAAGTTAGTGGCACGTGGTAATATACACTGCGAGTATCCAGCTTCGTGAAAATGTTGACGTTTGAAAACCTAACCATCAACTCGTTAACCGAAAGCAGAGGGCATTTTTTCACAATTATATGTCGATTAAACGCGCGAATATCGGCGCGTACAAGAAACAGAGCCAACTTTCTTTTGAACGGCAATTAGTGAATGGACCCATTCAGAACACTGTATGGGTTACCATTTGTTTTAAAGTTTTCGACAACGCCTCTCGCTTGGCTAGAGGTACAGGCCTAGGTTGTGAAATGATAAACGATTTGTAATCCGCCCTCAACTGAATGTGGTGCATTGCTTTTGGGACTCTACCAATATCCGCAAGAAAGAGAATTGGGTAACTGGACCGTGACGAATTATGGTTGATGCTGGCAATAGTCACCCGGCTGGCGTTACGTCCCAATAGTAGCTTATATCAATTTTAGAAACATTAACTCCAACTGTACGCTTCCAGCTGTTTCTAAGAAACATTGAAACCGTAAAAAACCAAGTATGTGAATATCACCAGGTGAATAGCTGCTAAAAGTGTAAGCGGATGGATGCACAGTTAACTAGCCAAAATGCAGTTTACAATGTCAATATGGCGCCACTATGATTGCTGACGGAGAATCTAGTTCCATGTCTAGACAAATGCTTATGATTTTAACTTCAAAAAACACATCGAATATCTGGGAAAAACACTTCACGTTTTTAAGTGGGAAACGAAAGTGAATGTTCGCATTCACTAACGCCATATATGAAATCTTCAGTGGTGACTGGAGTTGCCGTTTTTAAGAATCAACACAAGAATTGGCACGGGAAGGACAACTCGAGCAAGATGACCGATGTTACCTCAATTCCGGCAGACTGCACCCTTTACAGGACACGATTTATCATTTGCCCGGTGTTCAGTATTTCCACAACGGTAAAACATATTTCCAACCGAGGATCGCGTCAGAGAACGTGTTGAATCCAAACGGTCCATTTCAGTAGCTATTTCGTTACAAAAGAATATTTTGTTCTGTTCCGTAACTGCGACCTACGCGCGAGCCATGTTGCACACCACCCAAGTAGACTTTTCTGCTTCCTCCATTAACAGACTCTCTCTCCCTCTCTGATACGAGAATCCGCGAGACCAGAAATCATTTGTTGTATAAGCATACTATCTTCCACTACTTTTGGGAATACTATCGTAGTCACACTTTCGAACAAAACAAACTAAACGAGAAATGAAGGCATCCACTAATTCACCAGATGGTTGTTCCAGCTGCGAAAAATTGTACTGGGAGGTTTAAATGTTTACTCGGACGCCCCAAAGTTTATTGAGTGCCGATAAGGTAACTGTTAACGTGGGCTTCTCCCGAAGGTTTGGAGCATCAAGCACCCTTCGACGCTCTGAGCCGAGATGCAAGCACAAAAGCTTTAAAGTATCCCCTGTTTTAGCGTCACAGATGGATTGAGAACTGGTAGCACAGAAACGCAATCCGAAAAACTGATTTTCCGGTTTTCTCAGCATTTTGCATTTGGGGTAACCGCAGGGTGAATCCACTACGGTGCAGGAGAAGCAGCATGTAATGCCATCGGTCCCACTCGACGCCAATTTGTTGTTTTCCGAAAAGCAGCAGACCGGAGAAGCACCGAAACGTATGTATGGAAAGATGCCTGCAAATGTGCGTGTTGCAATCAAATGGGTAGACTAGAATTACGACCAATCAGATGCAAGTGCATATGGCTGAGTCAACGAGTGCTAAGTAGAAGCGTGGGTGGTCGAAACGAACCTATGACATAAACAAAGCGAAGTATCGGAACACGACAACAAGGTGCGTGCGTTAGATACACCGTGTATGCCTAATTCTTTCATTTAGCATCCAACTGTTCAATGAAAGGACCGAGTTCTTTCGTAACCTTATTAAACTGATCCCAACGAAGGATTGCTGGAGCATTGCAGTTTTTATCACCGTTGTCTGTTCAATGCAATCTTTTGTACACAGTCAACTATGGTTATACTGGAAGGCAATAAATTTTTCGATTTCGTACACTGGACACATCCGACTACGACATAGCATTGACCGTCGTGCACACTTAAACGGAGGTTCAATATCCTAGTAATATCGGCTAATCATAAATAATTGGCAGTGCCCTTCTTCCTATAATATTATGCTCCTGGCGATATGGTGGCACTCATCTTTATTGGTTGTATGGTTGTGGTATGGTAACCTATACCGCAGCCATTCCATTAGTGAAAGAAATCAATGTAGAAAATCCAATCATAGTTGCAACATAGCGAAAGATATGGCAGTAGAAACCTCGGAACGGCTATGGAACGAGCCTTGCTACATGTCAAGTTTGGACACTACAACCAACAAATCAGCTTCAAATCACACGAGCCGAAATGCATCTCGATTGATCTGTAGCTTCCATTTGACCGGAGCATGTAGTGGTGTGCAGACAGCAGAAAGTGGTTCTAATCATCTCGACCAACAAAATTCAGCGGCCATGTGACTTCGGCACTAAAACCAGTAACAGCACAATTTCCCCTTCGTTCAGAGGAAAAGAGGGTGGAGACCGATAAAGAGATGGCTCGACGGAGGCTTTTTACTTACCAGCATAGCCAAGGTAAATAAACTAGGTGATACTATGAATGCAGAGTAAAAATGGTAGTTGTCTGTGTTCTCCCAACTTGCCTGCTGTTCCTTCTGGAGCTGCTGGGCCGCTTTCGGAACGATCAGTGCACGGATGGATTTGTGACCCATGAATCCTTGGACATTCCAGCCATTGTTCGGCCGAGTCGCATAGCAGGCAGCAAAGGAATCCGACGATAGAAAACAGGAGAAGGATGAAGAACAAAATCGGACCAATAATTCTGAAACGGATGGGAAAGTTTGCACACTGACATGAGAGGCTGTGTAACGATGCAACTCAAATTCATTCACTTTTTCTGATATTTCCATTTTGCACTCTAAACTCCACGAACGAGCGCACTTGATGAAAAAATACCGGTTACTTGATTTCGGAGTTTATTCGGTCATCCGCCACATGTGTAAGTTCAGACACGTCAGAAGGAATGACTTGATGGTGACAGTTAGCAGAAATGAAGAAGCTATGCGGAATGGTTGGTAGTAATTCCAGATTACTCGGGATGGCAGGTAGAGTACCACACATTATCTCAACTTGTGGTGCGAACAAAAGTTTAACAGAAGGAAAACGGAAGGAAACGCCATGCAAAACTGTCCACAACACAGCAATAGGGATTGATATAGCAGCCGTTGTGCTTTAAACACGTTGGTAAACTCCAAAGAAAATGACCGATATGATTGCTCAGCAGCTATGTCCAGGAGCAGCTTATATGCCCTAACTTTCTAGTGCTTGGCTCCTAATAAAACCTTCTCAGCCTAATAAATTCCATGCGTAAATTTAACGTGGAGTTCAAAGGTCGTCGATAGAGTTATCCAACCGAATTAACTGAGTAGAAATGGGAACGTTAGTGGACGGACATATTAGGCCACATATTTTTCCAGAGGAAAGCTAGGTGAAGCGATGTAATGAATTTCAGTAAGCAGTGATGATATTATTTCTTTTATTACACGCATTAATCATCTTGGTTGGTAAAGTTGCATGTGAGTAAAAAGCTTAAACTATTTGGAAATGGAACAATGGAACAATAGTGTAGTACGGGTAAAAAGTAATGCTGAACGAGTGCCGTGGGATAAAAATTATTGCGAAAAGTAAATTGCAAGATAAAGTGAAAAGCGTTTTGGTGGACTCAACATAGACTTATGTAGAATAGCGAAGATGTTTGTGTATCAAAACTATATGTCTATTGCTCCGGGGGGTTGGTAAGACATCGCTTGATTGCGTTTTGTATCCCCTGGCTAACAAGTCATAAAATGAAATGCAAATGAGACAACGCATCGTCAACTCGTTTTTTAAATATCGCCAGATTGGGAGCAGAGGCGACATAATTAGGGAGGACGTTCCAAGGCTGGCACACGCGGAGGGAAAAGTAATTTCTACGGCATTCAAGCCGGATATATTGTATTTCAGTTTCAGAAGAAGACCTCCTAGGTTAGTGTTATGGTACATTTCCAGCAGCGTACGGCAAATATGCTTTGGGTTCTTCAACATCTGGTAAACTATTATGAGATCCCCCCGCAAAAGCCGATATCGACTGCTGTACATTCTTAGAGATTTCAGTCTAAGCTGATAGGGCAGATGAAGGAAGCCCCTGACGTTCTTCCTTGCCCTTCGTTGAGGAGTCTCGATAGCAAGCAGATCCTGTTTCTGCCACGACTGCCACGTCTGAATAGCATATTCCACGTGCGGTCGCACGTAGGCGTTAAGCATTTGGGGAAAGTTAGAGGGTACAAACCGAGCGAAGGCTAGGCGAAGCAGGCCGAAGTGTTGATTGCCGGTTCTCGTCGCCTTCTCTGCTTGTTTTGAACACCAGAGATCTTCCTGTACCAATACACCCAGGTCACGCTCCTGAGAGGCCTTCTCCAATGTGTGGTCTCCAAGCTTGTAAGCGCTCACCGGCTGCTGACGCAGATGGATCATCTTGCACTTAGCTATGTTCAACTGAAGCATATTCCTCTTTGACCATTCATAAATGCAATCTAGTTCATGTTGGAGAATATCGTGATCTTCATTGTTACTAATCGCTCACCATATCTTGACGTCATCGGCGAAAAGCAGGAAATTTGAGGAGTTAACTCTTGCCAAGTCGTTTATAAACACCAGGAATAAGCGCCGTCCCAGCACTGAGCCTTGTGGAGCACCACATTCTACCTCAGTCGGGTTAGCCAGTGATCCCCTAACTCGTACTTGAAGCTTCCGTTAGTGAAGCAAGTTGCCAATCCAACCAAACACAGAGTCTCCGATTCCTTAGCTCTGCAGCCGGTGAAGTATGTTGCGGTGATTCAGCCGATCGGAAGCTTTAGTGAAGTCCAGGTAGATGACGTTAACTCCGACCCCATTAGTAGCCACTTCCGTCCAACTACCGCGTGCAATTAGTAGGTTGGTGGTGCAGGACCGGTGTTAACGGAAGCCATGCTGCTTCGGTGCCAAGATGGCGCATTTTTCCAGGTAGTCCATTAGAGCCTCAGCGTTGACGGCTTCCATCATCTTCGCGACCACAGCCAGGAGAGTCACTGGGTGATAGTTTACAGGATGTGAACGGCTACCGCCTTTAAAAATTGGAGTGATAATGCCACGCTTCTGCATAGTGGGGACTTGTTGTTCATTAAAGCAACTTTGGTATAACTGCGACTGCTTCAGCCAGCTTGTTGGCCGCAGCCTTCAGTGCCTTCGGGCGGATGTTGTCTGCTCCAGGAGCGCTATGATCGCGTATTGAGAGTAACTTCCTTAGCATAATCGACGGGTGTAAAAGTACATGTGTAAACAATGGAGTCGATAATGTGCATGACATCATGGGACAGATAGAGGCTGCGAGTTCGAAAGTTGGGACTATGGTGACCGCAGGACATTAGCTGCTGCTTCGGCGCTTTGTACTCTACCGCCTATCGTGAAAAGTGGAGAGATTCCATGCTTCACTTTCCGATGCCTTTTGACTTGCCTACACAGCAGTCTGTTGTTTGCCAGGAATTTTCGGCTAAGCACTGTTGGTAAGATAATTTGTTCTCACGGACAAGTGCAGTGCAATGGTTGCGATGGGTCAGGAAATAGCCCCAAGTCTCTGAGTCGGAGTTAATCTTCTAGGCACGTCATACTGCATCCCTTAGCGCCAGGCATTTTCGAGTCTTGCTCCTTAGAATTGAATGCATTCTTGCGGGACGAAGGGGTTTGGTCTCTGATGCTCTGTTGACGATGTCGTTGAGTCTATCAACGAACTCTGTTCAAACGTTGTCAAGGGGACTGTTGTTTGAGAATTTCCAAGCAGCTACGTCGACGAGTTCTTTCAATACGTGGTAGCGTGTGATTGTATGTGTTAGTTCCGAGTGTTCATTTAGATACTGCATGACACACTTAGTTGAACGGTTACACTACATGATCACTGAGACCTAATGGACTATCTTTCTATAACTTGTCAACCATGAGCTCTTCGTTCATGAGCACAAGGTCCACTATGGACGGTTTGTTTGCTGTCCTGAATCTAGTGGGCGTGGTGACATGGTTGTACAAGGGACTAGTAGCGATCAGTTCATGCAAATCTGCTTTTAACTGCTCACTGAGTGTTGTAAAGCTGCCTTCGTACTGCTGCACTGCTGCTGTTCGGCGCCTGCGAGACTACGACCGCCGGATTGCTCAGTTGTAGTGACCTACTACTTGCGTTCACTTCCACACGCTCCGTACTTTTTCACCATGAAGGTCATTCACCAAGATTCTGACGATCAGGTTAGTGGGTTCCGTTTCCCTATCCCGCCTTTCCGAGAGACTAACCCTAAGGCCTGGTTTAATCAGCTAGAATCCATTTTTTCGTTACATGGCGTTAAGTCTGACAGTGTCAAATTTCACTGCTTTGTCGCAGCGCTTCCTCCGCAAGTCGTCGATGACTTCGACGACATCTTGGAGCTTCCCGAATATCAGAAAAGTTACGATGAGCTTAAGGCTGTAGTCTTAAAGCGATTTGGCATATCAGACCATGCTCGCGTTACGCAGCTTCTTAACGAAACCGAGCTAGGTGATCGGAAGGCCTTCGCAGTTGCTGCACAAGATGCAGGCTCTAGCTAAGCCTCTCTCTGCTGACGACTCTTTCGGCAAAGAGATGTCGCTTCGTCGCCTGCCACGTGACAAGCGTAACCCCTTGTATGCAAATAATGCGCCTTTTTCTCAGCTCGCCGAGATTGCCGAGCTTATTTGCGAATCCAACGCCCAAGTATCTCGGGTTAAGTCCACTTCCAGTACGGAGGTAGCAGCACCAAGAGCGCAAGTAGTGACACTTATCAACCGACTAGAGAACCTAACACAGTCCGGATCCAACCGCCGAAATCGTTCCAGTAGTCGCACTCGTCCTAGATCACGTTCGAAATCTCCCTCTAAGTCAAGCTATTGTCGGTACCAAGAGCGATTTGGTCATCTGGCCAGATCGAGTCGTGCGTTTTGTTCCTTCATGCGCAACACGCAGGGAAACGGGCCGGCCAGCACGTAGGGGCTACGGACGTTGTTGGCTGCCCCAGTCGCCTTTTCTTTGTCACCGATCGCAGTATGGGAGTACGCTATTTCGTTGACACCGGCGCAGAAGTCAGCGTTATCCCGCGTGATTCTAAGGACGTTATCGAAGAGGCGACTAGTTCATTGCGCGCAGCGAACGGCACCAATATTCGCGTGTATGGTCAACGCTCGCGCACGCTTTATTTAAACCTACGTCGTTCTTTTAAATAGATCTTTCCCGTCGCAGATGTCCAGACGCCAATTCTTGGCTTTGATTTTCTGCAGCACTTCGATTTGCTTGTTGACGCAAAGCAACGCCATCTGATCGACTGTCAAACAAATCTGGCAGTTATAGGTACTTTGACCGACATTGAGTCAATCAGTCCTGTATGCGCCAACCAGTCAAGCTCACCTATCGGTCAGCTGCTTAATACCAAGTTCCCGCAAGTCTTTCGTGCAATGGCACCGTTTCCATCCGCCAATGATGTTGCAAAACATCACATCGTTACCAATGGTCCGCCTGTTCTTTCCAAAGCTAGGCGAATGACCCCTGACAAGTTAAAAATTGCCCGCGCAGAATTCGAGCACATGCTTGAGCTTGGCATCGTGCGCCTGTCTAAAAGCCAGTGGACGTCGCCGCTCCACATGGTGCCCAAATAGTCAGGAGACTGGCGTCCATGTGGTGATTACCGCGCGCTCAACAACGTTACCGTTCCCGACCGCTATCCTATTCCTCACAATCAGGACATTACGGCAAGCCTGCGCGGCACTCGCGTGTTCTCGGAAATCGATCTGGTTCGAGCGTATCACGAGGTTCCAGTCGCTGAGGAAGACATACCGAAGACTGCTGTAATTACGCCGTTCGGGCTCCTCGAATTTTTGCGTATGCCGTTGGATCTTTGCAACGCAGCCCAGACTATTCAACGATTTATCGATTCAATCACTATGTGTCTAGGTTTCGTCTATCCAAACATCGATGATATCCTAGTTGCCAGTGCTCCTAAAGAACAGCACGCAGAACATCTCAAAATACTTTTCGATAGGTTGGCCGCTAATAGCATCACTGTAAACCCTGACAAATGCGTACTTCAACAGCCTTCCGTCGAATTCCTTGGCCACCATATTGATCAGTATGGTATACGGCCTCTAGACGATAGAGTCCGCGCCATCAGAGACTTTCCGGTCCCGACTACCTTAGCCGCTATTCGCCGTTTTAACGGCATGCTCAACTATTAG